TTGCTAGAATCTGTTAATCTGGTGAATAAAAGCTTTTTAAATGTAGATCCAAATAGTGTATAAACAGGCTTTGCGCTCTTTTACTAAATGTTTGAGGAATACCATCTAAGTTAACTACGTGCTGGAATCTTAGATTGTGGTTTACACTTGTACGTATGTAGTAAGAGATTTACAAAAGGGGAGTATTTGGGTGAAACCTCCCAGTGTAGGTTGACCACTGGGAGACGCATAACATCCAGACTCAGGCCTGCTATGTGAAATTTTTCAACATGCGAATAACCCTAGTAGTCTTTATTTTTTATTTGACATTTTGAAATATGGGTTGTTTGTGATGATTCTGGTACAATTCCCTGCTCTTCCTCTTAGTGCCAGTTTAAGAAATTGCTAATTGTCCATTCTTGCTGGAAAGTACTGATTTCCATTTGAATATAACAGTCTTTTTGCTGAAACTTTCCTGTGGTTGATTCGAGCAAATACAAGAAGCCTTCTGTTTGTGGACTGAATGTTCAGCCAGCCATGACGTGGCCACTATTCTCAATGAAGCTTATTCATCACTTTCCGTGCTGGTGCATTATACGGGCCTTGCTGAGGATCCTGGGGACTTTGAATGGAGAGCTTCTCCTCTGCTTACCTCCATACACTGTCGGTATTAAGGGATTCTGTTCTTGATCTTTTCCAGACCTTGTGGATAATTAGATCTTTTTGTTTTCCGTTGATTCCCAATAGTGTCTTGCAGATGACAGGCGCTGATTGAGAATTTGTTCTTTTTCTAAAATTGGAATGGCAATTAATGCTCTTAGGAGAAAGTTTTTTGTTCTCATATACATGAACATTTATCTTCGATCGAATGTCATTTTACACAGACATAGGCGATATTATGTTTCTGTAAAATAAAATAAAATGAAATGGCTGTTGATGATGTTAGATTCAAGGCTTATTACTCTTTAGGTAAATTAAACTTTTTAATATTCAACCTTGGATACTTGTTGAATAATTAGATTAAGTTTACAGGTTAATTGCTGAATTTCATTTATATAGGTAGAGCTGTAGAGATACAATAGTGGTTATTTGTTCCAGTTCATGACTAGAAGGCAGTCAAAGCTGTTATAAAACTAAGCCTATTATATACTTTGGTAAAATCATGTGCCCTGAAACACAGCAGGCACTTATTAGGAGAGCCTGGTCAAACACCATCAGACCACCATATCATGGCTCTTGAGCCTGTCTCACAGCAGTACTGTTATGATAAGCAGTGTTCCCTGTGTGTTAGTTATGGCCATTGGGGGTATAAATATCCATGACAGAATAATATTTGAATTGTTTTTGACTACATCTAACACAGGCTTATTTTTTTTTTTTCAAAATATTTCATGAAAATGGTATATGCTTGCTCTACATTCCCCACTCTTGTTACTTTCTCTCAGGAGTCACTGAGTGTCAGGGACTCACTAAGCCTGTGACCTCTATTCTAAGAAAAAGCCTAGCTCTGGATCTCAGTGGAGTTTATACTGTGTGTGGGAGGGCTGCACTTTCCCTGAAGACTGGGTGCTTCCAGAGGAGCTGGCTGGCTCAACAATTTTCATTTCAGGGACTCAAACTTGCCCTGGGGACATTTCAGGAAATACGAATTTCTTCCAGCCAAGGGACCCTCCCTCCCCACTTACCACCACCACCACACACACACACACACACACACACACACACACACACACACACCCTCATACCCTTTAGAGATTCCTTGAACCCATAGAATTCTCTTGATTGAAAGTGAGTCTTGGTTTGTTACTTACTGAGGTAAACACCTCAGACCTTCTGTGGTCCAGAACTAACTTCTGGGGAGTCTCAGGAGACCCTAGAATTGCCCTGGGACTAACAGTGAGGTACCTCCTCTTATTCCCCTTTGTAGCTCCTGTAGTATCTACAATACTGCTCTGTTCATAGAATGTGCAAAATAAATGTGTTGGCTACAACTCTTTTTTTTTTTTTTTTTTAATGAAAGCTTCTTTCTTTCTTTATTTTATTTTTGGCTGTGTTGGGTCTTCGTTTCTGCACGAGGGCTTTCTCTAGTTGCGGCGAGCGGGAGCCACTCTTCATTGCGGTGCGCGGGCCTCTCACTATCGCGGCCTCTCTTGTTGCATAGCACAGGCTCCAGACGTGCAGGCTCAGTAGTTGTGGCTCACGGGCCTAGTCGCTCCGCGGCATTTGGGATCTTCCCAGACCGGGGCTCGAACCCGTGTCCCCTGCATTGGCAGGCAGATTCTCAACCACTGCGCCACCAAGGAAGCCCCAGCTACAACTTCTTCTCCACTGATACATGTGAATCTATTTAGATTATTTAAGCCCAATATCATTCTAGAATTTCACATTTCACCCCAGATACCTCCCCGTTTCTCGGCAACACACCCACTGTTCTTGTGTTTACTGAACTTTCACATTTTCATTCCAGAATTTCCCATTTTATCCCAGTATCTCTCCTGTCTCTCAGTAACACACTCACTCCTCATTCCTATACTTACCGATTTCTCCCTTGTTTAATCACTTACTAAGTGAACAACTGTCTTATTACAGATTCTGACCCATATTGATAAGCAAGGAATATTATACCTTTAAAAAATTTTCTCTAATGATACAGGTGTGCTCCAGGATGACAATTATGAACCTCAAGGTTATGTAATTTTCATAAGCTTTAGGTTGTCCACATTATCTCTCTAGGTAGCCCACAAACAGATGAAGACTTGGCTTAAAAACAACTCTTCCCACAGAGAAATAGGATGTGACTCTAAATTCCTAGATTTCTCTGTTTTAATTCTGATCTAAATTTATGTGTAATAGTTGATAATTATTTATTCATTTGAGTAGGATCTGTGATATAAGACAAGTGATTTTTTTTTCTTGAAAATAGTTCTGATTGCAACAGGTCAACATATTCTAGGTGGATTATGCTGAATAAAAACTCCATATTGCCTCTTCTTAAAAAAATAAAATAAAAAAATGAAACATTTCTCTAAGTCATTCTCTCTTGCCTGTTTTCCTTGACATATGCAGGTTTCTTCACTTTCCACCTAGATTATTTTCCAGTATGTTCATAACTGGTCTCTATCTCTCCCTGTTCTCTCTCCCTTCAAATCTGCCTATTGTACTTCTGAAAGAATACCTTTATGAAAATATAAACACGTCCTTCTCCTGGTTATAAAAATGGTCAGTGATTCCCTCTTGCGTTTTGGGTAGAGCCCAAAGCCTAAACTATAAAGTCATACAAGTTTCTTTGAATCTTTGTAGCTTAACTTTCTGCACTTTTACTGTTTATTACTTTGCCTCAAAGTCTGTGCTATAAACATACCATCTACTTTTATGACCCCCAGGCTTTTGCAGATGCTCTTCCTCTGCCTGAGATGCCTTTCACGTCTCACTATGTCTGATGTATCCTTTGCAGCTCAAAGGTTATCTCCTCGCTGGAGCCTCTCTGAACACGCCATTTGTCTTCGTCTGTGCTCATACAGTATCGTATTATATATAGTACTTCTGATATATCACTTTATTGCTTTGTGTGCCAATACTTTTGTAAAATGTAATAAAAATGAAATAGAAAAATGAGGTGTAAAGAAGACATAGAAAATAGAAACCTCATTTTAAAATTATTAGATTCAACAGCCCTAAAATTACTAGGTTTCTAAATGTTTATTCTCAGTTTTGAACTTAACTATGTTTTTATGGACCAACAGCAAACAATTCACAGGTCGTCACTGGTCCACAGGTCACATTTTGAGTAGCACTGTTTTATAACATTTATCAAACAGTTTTACAGTTATTTGCATGCATATTTGCTTTCCTGACTAGACTGGGGTTGTGTCTTTTTTATCTTGTGTTTTCCTTTATCTGGCTTCTCATCCTTTGTCCCCTAACCTCCCCCCCCGACACCCCGGTCGTCCCCTCCCCCCCAAAACCAGGTCTTAAAATAGTACGTGACAGAGTTAATCAGTGAATGTTCATTGAAGGATTTAAGTGTAGCAGTGGTCTCATTACCGTATAATCACAACTGGCTTGCATTTCAGTTCGCAAAGTCACATGGGTAGAGCTTTGTGTTAGTTCACACGGGTATTGCTTTGAACTTCGTGATGCCATAGTGAAGTTCTGTTGGGGAAGGGGCTTGCTGACTCAGTCTGAAGTAGATTCACTTATGTTGTACTCTGCCTAATTTCAGTAGCCTCTGAGAAATCTTGCATGCAACACATGTCCACATTCTTAGCACAGGTGATAAAATAGCTCTCTGCTGTAGGGGAGGAGCAGAGAACTAGTAACACCCCTGAAGCAACTTTTTAGCAAATACTTGTTTTGAGGAGAATGTTTGCTGCCAGTTACAAGTGAAATGCTTTTAATTTTTCTGGTTTTACTGACACACTACACGCAGATGCCAGGTATCCCACCCTTGGGGACACCCAGCCCCCACACCCCTCCTTCCATCCCCATTCACAGTTCATTACTCAGTTTAGAATCTGCATTTTTGAAAGTTGTAGTTATCCAGCTTCAGAAGCTTAGAACTTGTCCCATATCTGTGATCTTGGAACAGTGTTCTGCTATGGTGGAAAGCAGTGGATATCTGAGTTCCAGCCCAGGCTTTTCTGATAGTTGACTGCATGACTCTGGGCAAGTCATACTCCCCTTATAACTTGTGTCCTCATTGGAAAATCCAGACTAGATGATTTATAGGGTTGTTTTTTAACTCTCCCCTTTGGTCCCTGTGGGAGTCGACGTTTGCCTGCTTTGATTTTGGTCATTTAACTCTGGCTGGTGATCTTCATATACTGTCATGTACATCGTGTGCCAGCAGTTACCATATTATATTGACATTCTCGCCCTATTAATGTTGGTTGACTTGTTAAGCTGAACTCTGTCCTTTGTTTTTGCTACAGAGCTTTGTTTAGCACTCTGCCTACCGGGGAATAAACCTTGCATCGGTTGCATATTTGATATCCAACTAATATATTACAGAACTGTTTCAGGTTGTGGACGTCATGAAGCCCAGTTGGAGTGATGCTGATCAGTCCCACGACTGTGTAAAGCAGGTGAGAGCTGTGGTTATTCATTCACTGTTCTCCTCTGGAGGGTCTCATTGATTATTAGCTTGATGTAGGATCTGAGTTGGTAGTCCTCTGTCTGGGCCTTCTTGGCCTCGGGCAGCTGAGAGAAAGATGTGAGTTCTCTGCCCACAGACTGTCCAGCCCTGTGGGGCAGCCTGCCAAGAGTCTCAAGTCACATGCCCAGGGAGTTGCTGCTACATTTTTTCTTCCTTGTCTTTTTCAAGGCTGCTGTTGTTGGGCTCTGTGCCTGGTGTCCCTGAATTGTAGCTCTTTTAGTTCTCTGGGTGGTGAACTCCAAACATCGTTGAGCAGCCGGTGCAATCTTTATTGGGGCTGGATTACCTCCACCGAGTAGACCAAGCGTGTTTTTATGATATCACCAGGCAAGACTTGCAGCTGTGACCCGTACACTAAGCCCACAGTCCTCAGTCCCCACAGCGTGCCCCTGAATATCCCCATGCCGGGGTGTGCAGGGCTGTGGTGTGAGCTGTAGCTTGTCCTCACCCGCTTCTCTAGGTAGGTATTCCATTGCGCATTCCGTTTGCAGAGCTGAGCCCTGAGCCTCTTTGTAAGATCTTTCATACACCAAAGTGCTCAGACGCCACGAGGAAGGTTAGTACTTGGAGTTGTATTGCAGTGGTGGTGACGGATTAAAACTGAGCCCCTACACACGTTTTCCTAGGCTACGGGTTTGTGAAATGGTTCACAAGGTTAGAAGTTTAGTAGATGGATATCTAGTGGAATGAAACTAATTAAGTTTATTGCACCACTAGCCTTAACTTTCCTTAACGTGGTGTTCTAAGTAACAGCCGTGGTTTTAGGATGATCTCATTACCGTGAGTCACCTATTCTGCTGAGAAATATGGAGAAGAGACTGTGAGTCTGGAGAACTGAGAAAATTTTCTTTTCTTCTTCTTTGTGTGGCCTTTTCTTTCCATTTAATTTCTGTGTTCTCTCTCTTATGTGAGAGGCGCTAACGGATTCATGTAAAACCTGTATTTTAATGTTGACCCATCTGCTTTCCAGTTGTTTAGCCTTGGGAGAATTTACTATCCTCTCTGAGCTAGTTTCCTTCCTAGTAAAAGCAAGATATTGCCACTACTATTTTAAACATTATGCATCATGTGAAGGTGTGTACTTGGTGTGGTACCCGGGTGACCTGCGGAAGGATGATAAAGGATCCTTGCCATTTTCCTGTTACATTAAGCATACACAATATTTCTTACTATAAATCCCTCATTTGTACCTGTAGTGAAAATGTTACAAATGGCATCAAGTAGAAATCGAGGCACGTAATGAAACAAGTTTAGTGAATGTTTCTTGGGCACCAGGCACTGTGAGTGGAGGAGAAGACAGCTTCCCTGAGCTGTTGGCAGTCTCACGGGTAATACAGAGAAGCAAGCGGTGTTTGCAGAGGGTGTGATGGGTGCCGTGGCGGTGCGGCTGATGTGCTCTGCAAAGGTGGAGGCAGGCCACTCGCTTCTAAGGCGAGAGGAGCAGAAGGGATGGCAGAAAGTCAGGGAAGAGTTCCTGGAGGAATGGGGTTTTGAACTGTGGCTTGTTGAAGAGAGGAAGGAGGTTCCAGGCTGAGGGAACTACACGCAAAAGGCCAAAAAGTGTAAAGTAGCATGGGGCGTGCAGCGCAAGTCGTTCAGGCTGGCTTCATTGTAGCGATGTGTGATACGGCCAGTGCTGGACGGTGGAGCTGCTGATGACCGGCCCATGGAAGGCCTTTCTGTCATGCTGAGAAACTTGGTTCGTCTCTTGGGGAGAACGGGCTCGTCATCGCAAGGCTCTCTTCTGAGGTGTGGCATGATCAAATTTGCATTTTAGAAGCATCCATCTGGTGCGAGGGCATGGAATCTGTTGGTGGGAGACAAGGTGAGGAGAAGGGGGGACATATGCTAAGAGGCTGGTGCAGGGGTTCAGAGGAGAGATGAAGATGGCAGAAGGGATGAAGAGGAGGACACCAACTGAGAGTAACTGAGGAGGTAAGAATCTGTGACTCCTTCATCTTAAAGAATGAAAAAGCATCTGGGGGAATCTCCTAGGTTCTTGTCTTGGCTGCATAGGAATGGAGAATAATAAAGGAGGAAGGTCAGGTTTTGGAAAAAGATGATAAATTCAGTTTTGGATAAATTGAATGGGTGCTGCTTGTGGAATGTGATCCAAGGGAAGGGAAAACCAGGAAGCAATTTGATACATGGGTCTAGGGCTTAAGGGAGGTCTGAGCCAGAAATGTAGCTTTTCACCTTGATCGATAATAACGACATAGGAAACAATGAGTAAAATGGTCGCTTTGTCCTTGCACTGTGACAGAGGGACAGACATTTATAATATATCACAAATGAAGCTGTCATTAAAAATGTCCAATAGATCCCCTTCCCGTCCTACCTCAGTTCTCTCCTTAGTAGAGATAGGATATTGCTATTTCCCTTTTCTCTCTCAACCCCCATAGGGCCTTTTGCTTTGAAATACTGCTTTGAAATTAAATAAGGTTGAATTTTGAAGGGTCTTAAATTTTAATATGATACTTTCCATAACTCTGAGCTGCATTTTAATGGGGCTTAGCATAACTTCTGATGCCTCTGGGAGTGCTTCTTAGTAATTTATTATTATTATTATTATTTTATCATTAGCTCTTAGACAGAAGTTGAGAGAAAATTATTAGAACAATCAGGATGTATTCCCTAGGCTGTGAGAGGGATAAGTGTAAGGTCTCGGCTCCAGTGGCTTTCTGTCTTCTCACTCGGCACACCCTGGCTTCTGTCTCCTGCGGGCTGTGCAGTTTTAGACCAGCATCAAGTTGTCGCTGAGCGACAGCGTTCAGTGACAGAGTTCTTACAGGTCAGAATTTTTTGGATAATCTTCCACATCCTCACCTTTCCTCCTACCACTCTCTCTTCTTTGTTTCTTATTTCAGCGGACCTTAGGAAATCATATTCTTGGATGTTCTCATTCTATTCCTTTGTGGGCTATACGTGTTTTCCTTAATTTTCCTCTTGTCAGTATTGAGGTTTATGATAACCTGTCCTCTTCTATCTTCTTCCACGTGAATATGCATAGAAAATCAGCCATGCTTTTCTGGCATCCTTAAAATTATAGCTTTGCCTGTTTTTTTATTTTTCTTTCTCTCTCTCCTACTATCCATTGAGATGACAAATATTCTAGGTTCAATCACTGCCACCTCTCCCACCCCCACCCTCCAAATATACCTGTTAAACCTCTGTATTGCTCTAGCGACATGACCACGCTTGCCTTAAATACTTCTTATACTGGGAAGTTTGCTGTCTCGTATGACGTATTTCATTTTCAGCAGCTTCAGTTGTCAAAAGGCTTTCTTTATAATTTAAACACGTGCTACTGTGATATGTTAAACAATGTACTTTCTGTTCCTGGTATTTTCTGCTGCCCTCTGACGGTTTTACTTTTTCTGGTTAGCAGTGGGGGAAGAGACACCTCAGCAGAATGCGGAGAAGAGGCAAGTGTCTGGTTTTTGAATTTCAGAAATTACAAAGCCTGGGTCTGACTATAAAACTAAATTTGGAAAAGTCAGGAAAAAAGATTTTGTAGACAAGTTGAGGGAGAGTCAGATAGGGAGTTGAGAGAGCCCAGATATTGGCCTTGTGCTTGAGAGAACCTCTAGGAAGGTTTGATGAATTCTAGAGGAGAGTGAACTTCTCCGTAAGACCTCACAGCAAAACTGCAAAGATTAAGTTTCTGCCTCTCAGCTCAGTGGGGGCTCACAATGAAAATTAAGTTTAGTTACTGAAAAAATGAAGAGAATGAAGTTACATTTCTTGCCCATCTGATTTGTAGGCTGAGATTTGTTTGTGTTATTTCTATATTGAAAAACAGTGAGACGTAGTGGAAAATTGCACAGGCTTGGAAGCCAGATTAATTTGGGTTTAAATCTTAGCTCTGCATAATATCCTAGTCAAGTTACTTAATCTCTCTGAGTCTGGTTTTTTTTTTTTTTTTCATTTGTGTAACTGGAATAATAATACCCACTTTGTGGGAGTGTTTTGATGCTTAGATGAGAGGTACATACAGTCTCTAGAATGGTGTCTGGCTTATAATAGGCACTCAGAAATAACTCTCTCACTTAATTTTTTGTCTCAGTACTGCTTCTTATTTTGTCCTCTTAAGCCTTAATAGAATATATCTAAATACTTCTTTCATATGATAGGCTTATAAATATTTGAAGACCAATATCCTCAACAGTGCCTAGCACTGTGTCTTGCATATTTGAGAAGCAGTGTGACATAATGTATTCTGGAGCCCGTTGCTTGGATTTGAATCCCAGCTAGGCCTCTTACTAGCTTGGGTAAGTTACTTAACTTTCTTTGGACCTCAATTTCCTTGTTTGTAAAATGGGATAATAATAATAATACCTATCTCGAGGTGGTTGTGGATATTAAAGATGTTAACACATATAAAGACTTCCAGACGCATGGTAGTTCATTAGGCATAGAGTAAGTGCCTCATGGTGATAGAGACAATGCTATGTGATCACCTAGTCCTGTTTTATTTTCCTCTTTAGAGCCAGGTCCTGGCTGCTTTTTCTTTCCTTCCTTGTGGGTTAGGTTGGGACCATGTATTTATTCTACACAGTAGATTATAAGTGGAGGTGACAGGTGTCATTTATGAGCCAAAGCACTTTGCCACATGGATTGTAGAGACCCTCATGTGGATTGTAGAGACCTTCATATGATGGTTTCACAAGGTCATACTGGACTGAGTCCCTGAGTCACCATTTAGTAGAGAGCTTCTGGATCCCTAGAGGACACTGTGTGAGCAAGAAATAAACTTTGTTTAAAGCTGCTGAGATTTCAGAGTTAATTTGTTACTGAGGCACAATGTAGCCTATGAGGATTAATGTAATATGGCTGTTATGATTGTTGACTAGTTGAATACCAAATGAAAGAAACTGTTGAGTCAATTTTAGCAGAGGCCTTTTCAGTGAAGGTATTAAGGAGAGAGGA